TTTTTTTTTTTTTTTCCTTTAATTTAGGTCTCTGATAAACAAAAAACCCAAACTATTGATTGGATTTGTTCACCAGTTTGTTAATTATGGGGTGAGTTTTGAATACTTGCACTAATAATAAACCTACTTAACATTCAGCGTGCGGAAATTGTGTGATGCTACCAAATTACAGTCGTACACTGATCACACAGACACACACACACACACACACACAGAGACAAAACATTTCATCTGTGCCACCCTCTGCCTACACTGCTCCTATTTGAGATCAAATAAGGAGCACAGTGTTGCTGTGGGAGTCAAAGTCCTGACTGATTGCTTGTGCAGGAGGACAGGACGCCGTGTGTGTCTGTGTGCGTGCAGTGGCAAAACTATTTCCATCCTCCATTTCTGCTGTAATTACACATAGCAGCGTTGTCAGTGAGCGATGCTAAATAACAGCACAATTCAGTCCGAAAGACACAAACCAGAGAGTTCAAATAGGGAGCGTTCTTTCTACTCCCCCTCTCGGCTTTCACACACAAATACACACACAAATACACAGCAGGACTCTGGCACTGTAAGAGAACCACAGTATAAAGATTTAATGAAACTGTAGGGGACGTCGTCTGGTGGGGTTTAAATGTTTAAATGTTGCTATTTCTTACTGCTACAGCGAGGAAGCGAGAGTTTCCTGTGGTAATCCCTGTGTCAGTGGTCTTCTTCCTGCCACAACAATTTCCCTCAGGCATAAATACATCGATGTCTGTATGATGTAAGCTTTACATAACCCGAGAGCCGCTAATGCCGACAGCAAAAGTTGGAGGGGGGGTTGATGAGTGCAATGCAAGAACAATATCAGAAATAAAGAAACAGGCAGAAACAGACTCTTTGAGCAGAAAAAGAGTTGTTAAAAAGGAAAAAAAGTCAATTAGTCCCTGAGGGTGGTGTGCCATGTGCTGCGAGCAATGTGCCACCTGTTCATAAATGAGTGGAGCTCCTGGAGGGTTTTTTTTTTTTTTTGGAGGGAGGGTGGGAGCTCAGCTAACAGAGAGCATTGTGGGTAATAATAAGGCCGCAGTAAGGCAGATTGCAGTACCGAGCAGCAGCAGCAGCAGCACGGGACTATGGGGATGCCTCGGAGGAAACCTGGCTCTAGGCTTAAATTAACATCAAAGAAAACAACGGTCCTGACATAGAAATTATTTGACAGCCACCGCCCACTCACGCTCAACAGCTCCCTCTCACTTATTTTCACACTCTCTCTCCACCGGCGCCGTCCGACAGATACGCACACATTTACAAATGTGATGTAACAGCCTCCTTGAGCCGTAATCCAGGGAGAGCATCCATAAAGGAGGCCCGTTAGGACGTTCAAAGGGAACCACAAAAAAAGAAAAAAAAAACGGGGAGCATAGCGGGCAGCTGAGTCGTGCCATTAACAGCCACCAGACCGTGTGTGTGTGTGTGTGTGTGTGTGCTACTTGTGTTGTGGTGACATGAATCTGTTAACATTGTGGGGAAAGTCCACATGATGTAACTCATTAAATTTAAGGGTGAAGACTTGGTTTAAGGTTAGGTTGTAATGATTACGGTTATGGTTAAATCTCCAGGAAATGAGACTATTTTATCCTCTGAAGTAATGGAAACAGGCCTGCGTGTGTGTGTGTGTGTGTGTGTGTGTGTGGGCTTATCATTTGGGTACTTCCTCAGAGCAGTAAAACCTTCTTACTGCAGCCCTCCACGTCTGTCTGCTCACATAACCATTAAAAAGTACATCTCAGAATTAAGTGTTTGCATGTGACATTACAGTTGCGCTGACATGTTTACATGGGACGAGGGAAACTCCGCAAGCTGTGTGCAACATCACTCGCTATTTATAGAACTGTCACAATAGTTCCCTATACAGCATGTAAATAATGTGTTCTAGGAGCAGCCACAGAACAAAGAAGACAGGAGATGAGACGGTTCTGTACTCAAGGACAATTTTCAAGTAGTTCGAGTTTTTCCATCATATATGCTACCTGGAATGAGAGGTAAACATTGCAGTTGTAAACCAATACAGTCGTGTGACACCTAGAGGCACTTTGGTGTTTATATGTAAAACACAATTTATAAAAAACGATACATTAATATAGATTAAAAGCCCTCAATACCCACACAGGTGTTAGGGTTATTGTGGCTCAGGTTGAAGTTGTGCAAAGCTCTGCTGGGAATGAGCCAACTCTACATATCAACAGAAAGGATAACGTAGTCCTCAAACAAACTAAGAGGAGATTAAAAGCGAGAGTGCACCTGCACAGCCTTGCGAATTAGTCTAAATAAGCAAACATAATGCAAGTGGGAGGGGACCACGGGTGTTCAGGGTTTATGAACTACCCAACAGTTTATGAAATAGTATGAATTAGCTCCTGATAGTATCTGAAAATGTATTTGTTTTTTTTGTTTCATCTACATAGAACTCCCTGAATAGTGAGAGAGGAATTACTGAATAAAACATTCTACAAATTCATAATGTGTTGTCATTATGCTAAAACCAAAATCACTTCCCACTGAGGATACAGTTTTCCCACACGTGACAAACAGCGACTGCATTTGCATTTTAGAGCTCGGGCTGATGTCCTCTATTCGCAGCCAGAGCGGCTGGTCAGAGAGGTCTGAGCTGCCATGCAGTCATATTAGCAGATCAATAAGATCCACTTACTGTGATCATTACAGAAGGTTATTACCATGTACCAGAATAGATCCCTGTTGCTGGTTCCTGACGCTGCCTGCACCGTAGCAGTTATAGATCGTGCAGAGGCCCAGTGCAAAGATTTATCCAGCATGTGAACATGAATCAAATTTTCAAACTACACAGACGGGCACAGACAATGCATCTTATTCAGAAACGCGTGGAAGTGAAGCTGTAGGAAATCATCGCGTTTCAGGGCTTTCAATTTATGGGCAACACAATAAGGAGAACAACGAGTACAAAAGGAGGAGAACAATAGCGCTACTGTTCATAGACAAATAATGGATAAAGGCTGGCGTCATGTAGCTACAGGCCCATAGTCTCTGCCGGTAAAGACAGATACAGTCAGTGCTGTGGTGCTCTCTAGTGGTCAAGCAAACATGTAAGCTGTAGTCTGGTTTAAAGAAGTCTGTGCACAATCAAAAAGCAATCTGATAGAAGGAAAAAAATAATATCTACAAAATATTTAAACTGTTGCAATTCAATGGTTCTTGTTTCTTTGGTTTACTTGCAAAACAAAACTCACACAAAGGAAATAAATCAACAAGATCAGTTATCATTTTCAGTCACCACAACAGTCCACCGACAAAAGAAAACCACACTTTTATAGAATAGTAAAGGAGACAAAAGCAGAGTGAACCGCTTCCAAAGTAACTTGAATACAATGTGCAGCAGTAAAGGCACCATTTCATTTACTTCTTTGAACAGTAATCCCTCAGCTATCATTGTTCGGCACACAGAAAGGATCCATATGCATTTATATGCCTTAAGCCGCCTCCCTAAATGAATCAGTAACAAGAGTTACTATCTGTGGTCTCACACTACATGTAAGCATCAACAAAGTGAGAATGCACCTCGATCAGCTACAACATTAAACCCACTGACAGGTGACAATGCTCTGCTGAAGAACCTTGGAATTGATGTGGATGTTACTTCAGCCCACCCACAGCTCCCCCAGCAGGACAATGCATCCTACCTCACCCAAATAAAACTGCTCAGGAAAAGCTCGAAGAACACGACAAAGAGCTCAAAACACTGACTTGGCATCTAAACTTAACAGATCACAGTCTGATCCATGGGATGAGCCAGAACAAGAACCCTGCAACCCACAGAACACAAGGGATCTGCTGCCAACGTCTCAGCACTAGACACCACAGGAGACCCCACAAAGTCCTGTATCGATGCCGAATCAGAGCTGTTTTAGCAGCACCACATTAGACAGGTGCTTTATCTCATTATACATTTCTATTGAACAGTGACACACCCAACATGTTCAGTAGATATAACACTTACCTTATTCATGTCTTCATTTTGTGGTGTTTGTGTACCACATTTACTAGTTAACATTCAACACAAAGCAGATGAGGCTCAATTTAATCAACTTTTTCTTTTTGAGAAAAATACAAATTTTGGCCGGATGGTGGCACTAAATAGGAGACATGACAAAAAAACAATGTTGTGATCAGGATTCAATGATTATTCATGAAGCTACAACACAACCTATGCAAATATATTCCCACCATTTTGGAGTTGATTGCTCAAAAGCATAAAGATATTTTTAACACATATTAATGCCGATAAACTATGTAGCTTGAAAGTGCTGGTTTTTACTCATCATTCTTTATTGATTATGATTCGTCAAAATACTAGAGTATAAAAATATTTCAACGTTTCAAAAGCACCATTCAGTGTGTGCAGACACCTGTTCATTTCTCACTCAGCTTACATCATCTGATACACCGAAATACACGGAAAAAAATCAAAAATAAGAGAGAAAAAGTGTAAAGGAAAATAACATGAGAGCAACGTACAAAAAGTTTTATAAAAATATGTAAAAATGACAAAGAGAAATCAACATTTTTGCACGTAGCTGAAACTGACACAGTCTATATACAGTATTTGCCATAATTAGCACAGATAGTTGGAGTTACCGACCTATAGGTGGCATAAGAGAGCCAAAACCTAAGATGAAGTGCTGAATCTGACATCTCAAGTCTAAAAACGAATTGGAAAAAAACAAGACTTTGAAAGTGTCTTGACACACTGACGATACAGAGGACAAAAAATATCATACAGCATTTGAAAAGGTGGTAAAACTGTAAATTTGGACGTGAACATGAACCTCCTCCAAACTGTCGGGGCAGAAACAAAGCAGCACGGTTTTGGCATTTGAAAGATCTCCGCGTCCGTCGCAGCGACAGTCAAGCAACTCTCTTGTGTGTTGAACAGACACTTCAGATTCTGGATGGTTTGAAGTCAAGGCGAGAGAGCAGCTCCCCCCCTCTCCTCAGATCATGAAGGACTGAGTTTGTTTGTAGTGTTTGAGCTGCGGAGAGACGTACAACGAATCATTTCCTTTCATTAGCTGGGGACCAAAGTTATCAGCAACCTATCAACAGTATTTAATGGCGGCCTGAATTCACGCGAGCAAAACAAGCGATAACAGAACCTTTGATCACTCACGTTGCGAGTGGGAGGAGGAGGAGGAGGCGGAGGAGGGTTGTAGGACTTGCTGAAAGACAGAAGGGTGACGGTTCAGTCTGAGCTCATTACTTGATAATAAAACACATTTACAGGCAACACGGAGCAAGAATTGAAAATGAAACACTCACCTTTTTGTTTTCTTGCTCTCTGTTCAAAGAAACAACAAAACAGAAAATGATCAGTAAGTGTTGAATCGCTATCAGAAGTTGGACATTTACCTCATGATGTGTCGTCAGTGGTGGCCGGAAACTAGTGCTTTCATTCATGTAGAGTCGTGTTTCTGTCCACCTTACAAATCTAAGGAGGATAATCATTTTACTTTGTTTTGGTCTCTGCCAACTCCTGAGGGAAATATGTGTCTCTTCAGCTGCTAAATCCTATACTGCCCTTTAAAAATATTGTTCTGGTTTGCATCAACATTTTGCATCAGTCTTATTAAGTTATGACAACCTCTAATGAAATTAGGATAATCCAATGAACTGCACTGAGTTAGGGGGAATTAGCTTTTCCTCTGAAATCAAAGGTTTAGTTATTTACAACCTACTTACTGATTGGTAGCATAAACACAAGCTTGTAAGCTGAGCAGTATTTCTACATTATTTTTGAAGGACTTTTTAAGAATTATAGAAGTAATTACCATAACTATACATGCTTTTTTTTTTTTATTTGGAAAATGTGAAAGAAATCAAACCAATTTATTTACACTACCATTACCTCAACTTGAATTTAGTTTTAAATCAACTTTGAGTTTAAATTACAAACAATATCATGTTGACACCATTACCATCATTACTATAATGTAATACAAATATAATATAAATAATGTTCGAAACCAAAAAGATGTCTCTAAATGAGAATATTTGATTTTAATTTTTTTTAATCTTGCAACCATGCATTTAACCTTATTCAGGACTTTTGGGGTCTTTTGGACCCCAGGCCATTTGGTTTAGGTGACAGGTGTTGTTTTTTGGGGGGGGGGTTTGAAGATAGATTTTTTTTGGAACCAAATGTACATCAACAGATCAGTAAATTTATTTAACATAGTATAAAAGTCTACAATGAATACCAACAAATATTTTGCACATATTATTTCTTGGGGACCCCAAAAGACCTTCTATGTATGGCAACATGGCAACATCCATCCATTATCTATGCACCACTTAATCCTCACTAGGGTCATGGGGGGCTGGAGTCTATCCCAGCTGACTCAGGGTGAAGTCAGGGGACACCCTGGACAGGTCACCAGTCTATCACAGGGCTACACTTAGAGACAGACAACCAAGCAC